CCTCTCCTCCATAATGTATGCCTGTCCTTTTGACTGATTCCAAATTTCCAATCCTCGGACGCCTACCTGTGGCCCCCGCACACTTGTAATTTTCCCCTTGCCTTCCCTGACTACCACGTGCCTCCGCTTTTGTCTACAGTTGACACATCGCAAGAGTTAGAAAAATTTGGCACTGTAGCACTTTCGTTTGTATTTGACAATTCTTATCCAATCATGTACTAACTAGACTCAAAAGATTCGTCTCGTAATTTACAATCAAACTGTGTAATTAATTATTTTTTTATCTACATTTAATGCTGCATGCATGTGTCTTTAGATTCGATGTGATGGAGAGAGAGTGAAAAAACTTGGAACTTTGAAGCAATCTAAACAAGGCCTACGCAAGCCACGCTCACATAGAAAAGCGAATAAAAAGGCCCCCGACAGGCCGAAAAAGCAAAACCCCCGCAATGTTTTAATTTACTATCTCAGTAACCCCAAGTTCATGGTTCACATATCTGCAAGAGAATTATACAATATTTTAATTTACTATCCCAGTAACTCCAATGTTGCATAGAAAAGCCTATACATACAATTGAAATGAAATAGAACGCATTCTAAGTCTAGAACCTAATTAAATCACTTTTGCATGCCTAATTTAATGGCTGATCGCTCCAGCTCTTAGCTCTATTTAGGGCTTATTTGCTTATAGTGTCAGAAAGAGGGAAAGACGTACTTACGAGAATCGGAGACGTAGCCTAGTTGAGTGTTCTGCTGTATATAGTGCCTCTCGCCGCCAATATATAGCCGCTTCCGCCGTCCTGATGGTTGAATTGGTCACGATCGCAGCTCGCAGAAAAGATGGTGGGCGGTGGGAGGAGGAGGAGCAGCCGCAGGAGGGAGCCGTCGCCTACCGCCCCGTCGCGTGAGGAGGAGGAGGAGCAGCAGGTGCCCTAGGAGGACGCCGAGGAGGCGCAGGAGGACGACGAGGAGGAGGTGACAACAGGGGGTTCCGCTTCCTCTAGTTCGTCGAGCGTCTACTTACGAGGTCCCGCGAGCCTCCCTCAGCGACCGATACCTCGTGAGAGACGCCCGCTGATTCGACCCGAGGGGGAAAAGTAAGTAACTTTAGATGTTATCACTACTTTATATAATATGTTGAAAATCAAAATAGAAACTAATAATTTTTCTTAATCACTTGGGCAGGAACTGGATGATTGTGGCGAGTGGAGGTGGTCACACACGCCAGGTCAATGGCATCATCGGTCTTCTGTGCAAGGAGCACTTCCCTGGCCTGGTTGAGTATGCCGGAGTGACGGGGCCGGCCTACTCGTTTGACCACTACGCCGCCGCCCCCGATGCTGTAGATCGGGCCCCAAGGGTATTCAATAACAAGGCGGAGCGGGTGAAGCAAGAGCTGTGCGTAAGTCCTCCTCGCACTATATTGCTCAATACATCGCATTCATTGGACATTCTTGAAATAATGAATGGAAACATCGTGTTTGTATGTAGGATTTCTTTAGATGCTAGGACGGACATGAGGCCAGGGCGGATGCGGTGGCTACCAAATGCTGCAAAACACTCGTCGTGGACATGCATTACGAGGCGAGCATCCAGGCCGTCGTAACTTACTACGGGACCGTCCTTGAAATGAAGGTCACCAAAAGGGACGCAAGGAGCATGACGCTGACCTAGGACCAGTACCTGCAGGTAAATACAGAACATTAATACTGATTCCTTTTGAGATTAAGTAGGCTTAATTTTGTCTTCTGATATGTCATATACTTGATGGCATGTAGATGATTCCTTATTGGTGCGCCGCGCATCCCCAGTGCTGGGAACAGATGGTGGAAAAGTGGTGCTCACGTGAGTGGGAGGAGACACACAACTTGTGCCGGGAGCGGCGTTTGATGATGTCAGGTGTAGCACACCATCAAGGCAGCCGCAGCCTTAGCGGATACGCAGAAACATGGGTACGCGAATTTATTTATTTATTCTAACACTCAATTATGCATGATTTCTAATCATCTTGCTATTTTTCTCGCAGTCGGTGTCACATGGTGGCCGGCCTTGCTCCATCTTCAAGGCATTTGCTATGGCCCACAAGGGCAAGACGACGTCTGACGTCGACTACAACCCGGAGGACGGGCCCGAGGCGTACAGCAATGCGACCATCCACAACCGCCTCAGTGAGTACACATCGATGGCAAGGGAGGTCCATGGGCCACAGTATAATCCGAGCACCGAGGACCTTGATGGAGAAGCCATCATGAGGGTGGGAGGAGGCAAGAAGCATGGGCGGTACTGGATTGGCGACGCCGCAATCGACTCGGCCGCTACTCCCAGTCTCTCCCAGATTCGAGCAAGCAGCACGAGCAGGAGCCCAGTCATATGACCTCGGCAGGACACTTCACACCACCGGGTGGAGACACTCGAGGTTATTCCTAGTTTATTCGTGGTTCATTGGTTTTTTCATACCTTTCCTTTGCATTATTGTAACATTAGGGTGAATATCAACTGAAACAAGAGAGGAGGATACGGGAGCAGATGCAGGCGAAGATGGAGAGGGTGGAGTCCGAGCGGGCCGAGTGGGAGGCCGAGCAGCAGAGGACGGCGGAGATTCTTCAGTACATGCAAAGTCTTGGCGCCGCTACGGGTGTACTTCCGCCACCTTCGCTATTCGCTCCACCTCCACCTCCACCTCCACCTCCTCAAAATTCTACTCCTGTGAGTATAAATGTTTTAGTTTGTATGTTCATGCTTACGGTCAAACCTAGTGTAGTATGAAAGTTTTATTCATGTATGTTATATATTTATCTTTTCCTTTGTGTAGAATCAATCGGCGGCATCGAACGATCCTCATGCTTCAGCGAATCCTTCACCAAATCAGTGATGATACTTGTGGTTGTTAATGGTACTTCTATTTGCAATTGTGGTTGAAGATGATGGAGCACTTGGATTATTTGTGAACTTATTCGTGATATGTTGTGAGACATGTGACATTTATGATATATATGTGACGTTTGTGATATATATGTGGTGTTGGTGATATATATGTGCTGTTGATGATATATATGTGATGTTGATGATATATATGTGATGTTGTTTATATATATCTTCTGTTTGTTTGATGGAATGTAAAAAACAAATAAAAAAGATTGTTTTCAGTCACTTTGTCGAGTGCAATGGCCATGACACTCAGCAAAGTGACGACCTGGGAACATGCCTGGCAACATGCTTTGCCGAGTGCACAGACCATTGCACTCGGCAAACATCACAGATTTGTCGAGTGCCACGGGTCAGGCACTCGGCAAAGGTCTCCTATTTGCCGAGTGTCTTGTTGGTGGCACTCGGCACAGTGGCCACCTTTGCCGAGTGTTTGAGTCAATGACACTCGGCAAAGAGGCGACCTTTGCCGAGTGCTTGACCTTGACACTCGGCAAAGCCGCCGTCACGGTGGCGCTCGCCGTCACGGCGACTTTTCTTTGCCGAGTGTCAGATTAGCACTCGGCAAAGAGGTCTTTGCCGATCAACTATTTACCGAGCGCCCTTTGCCCAGTGTAACACTCGGCAAAGCATTTACCGAGTGTATATCGGCCTTTGCCGAGTGCCTGAGGCACTCGGTAAAGAAGCCGCCTCCGATAGTGTCTACTCACCCTGTCCGCAGGACCCGGCTTGCCACATTTCATCCCCTGGCGCCTCGGGCCATGCCCCCATCACCCACCGCGTCCCCGTGACTCTCCGAACATACCTCTGGAATATGAAACACTTGAATGCAACATACGTCTAAAACAAATGAAACATTTGAAACATACAGTTGCAACATATATGTGAAACATATGCAACATCCAGATAAAACACTTGCAATGTACGTCAGAAACAAATGAAACATTTTATATACGTATTGCAACATCTAGATGTATTTTTGCAACATCCAGATAACACAACTTGAAACATTCGTCTCAAGCAGTTGAAACACCTAGAAAATACACTTGCAATATGCGATTTTAATGCAATGTCACCTTGCTACTTGGGCAGTTTGATACTCATCATTACGGAGCTCGATGCCGGCGTGGACGTCGGCCGCGGTGCGTGGAGCTCGCCGGTGCGACAGCAGCGCGGGCGACTCGCCGGCGGGACAACGTCACACGAAGCTCCTCCCCTCGCCTGCTTACTAGAGCATTCATCGTGGAGGTTCGCCAGCTCGGTGGAGACAGATGCAGTGAGCGGGCAGCGCGGTGGAGGTGGCCACGGCTGGCGAAAAGCGCGGTGGCGGCGGTCGCGACGGTCGGAGCAGAGTGGGGAATGTTCTGGATGACTGATGCGCAGTAGAGAGACTGGGGCAACTGCACCGGAGCATAGAAGGCAGAGCGGTTGTCTAGGCCGGTCCGCATGCCCAGCAAGCGAGCGTCTGGGACGGACGGACGCCCTGATCCAGCATTAACGATAAAAAAAATACCGACTGCATGCGATTTACTCAGACACCTGATGATAGAAACAAAATCCGGTATGGGTGTTGGACGCAAATCCGTTACCGTTACGGGTGGCACGTCGTCTGTCGTCAGCAAGTACCTAACCAAGTTCTAATCTGAGCGCAACTCCTTTGCTTTTGATCTACATACAAAATCGAATTAACACAAGGAATACGATCGATCCACCAACATGCCCCAGCGCCACGACCGGCCAAAAGATCTCGGCACGTTCAAGACGCGCCGGTGGTGCCGCCGGTTCTACCCAACAAAGTGATCGTCGAACAAATTCTGGCGCGCGTCCCGGCCGCTGCCATCGTTCGCTTCCCGGCGGTCTGCTGAGAGTGACGCCCCGCGCTCACCTCCGATCACTTCGTCCGGGCGCACCAAGCCGTCGTCAGAGCCGCTGCCCAGCCGCCGCCGGAGATCGTTTTCTTCGCGCCCACCGCCGCAGGCTCTACCACCACCACGTGCTTCTACTCCTCGGTGCTTACGTCAACCGCACAGCAGAACGGCGGCTCGTCGGCCCGCGAGCTCGTGACCGTGGACGACATGCGCGCCGTCGATCTGGTTATGTCGGGCACCAAGCCCTGCCGCGGGCTCACTCTCCTCTTCCAGGCCAGCGTGTCCGCGTACCACGTCTGCAACCTCTCCACCGGAGAGCACGTCTCCCTGCCCCGCTGCCCATGGGCTAGGAGAGTGACCGCTGACGGTCCCAACGTGCTCTCGAGCACCGGGCTCGGCTTCGACCCGGCGGCCAACGAGCACAAGGTGGTCAGGCTCTTCGAGGACCGGAATAAGCAGCCGCACTGCGAGGTGTACGGCCAGAGGTCCGGCGGATGGCGCCCCTGATCTGGACATGTGCCGCCGCACGCACCCAATGACCCAAGGGTCTCTGTAGCCGCCCCCCGGTGTTTGTGAATGGGCATTTCTACTGGCACATGTACTGGCATATGAACACTGCGATGAACTTTGATGACCCGGAAGCCAACTTGTTCGGAACGCCGGAGCCCACCATCCTGTCGCTCTCCGTGGATACACCCGCCGGAAGCACGGGCGCGCTACGCCTTCCATCTCGCCGACCTCGACGGCTTTCTGTGCGCCGTGGTGGACACTCGCCTCACCGTGGGACAGTACGAGCTCTGGACTTTGACGGCTGCCGGCTCGACGACATCGCCGTGGTCGTTGCGCTGCCGCATCATTGGCGAGCCTGCCCCAGCCGATGAGGGACGCCTTGCGCGCTGGGTTCCGCATGCTCCCGCTCGGCTCCTCGCCCGGAGGAGAAATCCTTCTCGCCACGAGCCGCCACGAGGTGTACGCCTACGACCCTGAGAGCAACCGTGTTCACAAGGCGTTCTCCACGAACGACTTCATAGACACCCTGACGCGCGAGTCGGAGCTGCTCCTCAACATCGCCATACAAGAGGAATGGGTCACCCCGTCTGCCGCCGCCCTGGGGCCTGTGATGATGTGGGCAGGCTGAAGATGAAGCCCGGCAACCGGATTGTTGCCAGGCAAGGAGGACGAGGACCTACGGACTGTCGTAGAGACGATGTCACTGTTATGGTCATGCTGATGTTCTGCTTTCATCAGCGTGCCTCCCGGGAGTCTAAGAGGCACGCGGCGCACACGAGCGACATCGCCAGGAGCACCGCGCAGATGGAGAAGCCGCAGGCGGCAGAGGAGCTCGAGGTGGCGCCGACCATGGCTCGTATGTGGGAGGAGGGGAGGAGCACGCGTGAGTGGGAGGGAGGGAGGAGGAGGGGAGGAGCTCGAGGTGGCCGCTCTGCTGAGGGAGGGAGGGAGAGAGGAGGCGCCGCTTGCTGAGGAGGGAGAGTGAGAGGAAGAGAGATGGCAGTGCTGATCCCTAAGTTCATATGAAGACGGCTATCGGGTCTCGCCTAGGCTTGTTGGGCCTCGGCTTTTTCAGAGGCGGGTCTTATAGTGTGCCCGCCTCCGAAAGTAGAATTATGGAGGCAGGCAGCTTAAAACGACCGTCTCTGGAAATAGGCCATTTTTTGAGGCGGTTGTCTTAAGGTGCCCGCCTCCATAAATCCATTTTTGGAGGCGGGCATTTCTTGACCAACTCCGTAAATAAAAATGACCGTCTCCGTTAATTGCCTAGCAATTTCCTAGGCGGTTGGATCTTTTGACCGTCTTGATTAATAAAAGAGCACCGTCTTGTAAAATCATTTATGTAGTAGTGCAATACGCCCTAACATCTAGGGATGCAAGTAGGCTAGCCCGTGAACTTACATATAGATTTAGGTTGCCACTTAATTAAGCGTCTCATAAAATTAAACCTATATACGAGTTTAGGGGCTAGCTCTTTTATATGATCCTAGTGACATTTTTTAGTTTTATTTTGAATAATTCATTATTTTATAATATCAATGCAGGCCTTCTCACATTGCTTTGTTACATACATGTACGTGCATATTTGTTTATCTGTAGACTTGGATTTGCTTGAACCGTAGCCAACTGCAAGGAACCCTATCTATTGGACAAAACTTTATATTAACCACACCTCATCACTTCATCGGTACATACAGACCATGTACATGTATGTTTCCTTTTACATGGATGATGGATCAATGAATCAGTGAACAAACTATATGCTGTTTAGTACTAATTTCTCTTTCTTCCCTTCTGGCTCACAGACCCAACGAGCCACCTTGAGCTAGTTACCGAGCCGAGTCGAGCTGGACTTTTGGCTCGTTAGCATAACGAGCTGAGCCGAGCCAGCTTGTTATCCTAATGAGCCAGACCGAGCCAAGCCGAGTTGGCTCGATATCCAGCCCTACCTAGGAAGCACATTGAACCCTACCTGGCTAACCAAAAACTCTCCTCTCAAAGACTCAAACCACATAATGCTCGCCCCCGACAATAGATTGGAATTGAATCGTTTCTCTTAATGCAAAATGTAAACAAAAGGCCTATCTCGATGTAGCTCTACACTTCAGAGACTAGCATAATAACGATTAATGCAAAATGTAAACAAAAGGCCTATCTCGATGTAGCTCTACACTTCAGAGACTAGCATAATAATGATTAATAAACGACCGAGCAAGCTCATGTTTTTTTTGAGACAATGTGCACTATGATCCAGCTCCTCCTCGTCAAGTTCGGGTGAACACTACTACATGAATCAATTTGCGCAGCGTGACCAAAATGGGCTCCATAGCGGGCACCTCTTTTGCCCGCCACGGTTAACCGGTGGCCGGCCAGCGAGGTCGGCCACCGAGGCGCCCGCTGCGGGAAAAGGGTTTACCGCGGCGGGCCACCTTACTTGCCCGCCGCAGGAAATCGTTATTTACCGCGGCGGACGGTATGAATCGCCCACCGCGGTTAATACTATTTACCGTGGCGGGCTATTTAAACTGCCCGCCGCGGTAAAGAGTTGATTTACCGAGGCGGGCGCTTTATCTTGCCCGCCGCGGTAAAGCCTGTACAAATACACAGCACCACCCCTTCATCTTCTCCACGGGTCTTCCTCTCTCAAACTCGGGGGGAGGCTTTGCCCTAAAATTTGAGGAAACTTTTGATTTGAGTTGAAGGGCTTGGATTTGAGGGAGGAGGACATCATAAGAGGTTCATAAAGGCTCTCCTTCCATCCTCTCTCTATTTCCATCACCTAGAGTTCTCTCTAGATCTAGATCTAGATCTAGATCAATTTTAATGGGAAAAATGATGTCTTGTATTTCTTTAACTTTAGATTCATCATAGATGCATGTTTCATCTTTCACATCGTCATTTCCTCTCTTTTTCATGATTTTGGACGTAAAAATCATCAATTTCTCCTAATTCTTCTTTATTTAATGTTGATTGTGACGGATAATGTTCGCAGGTATGATGGATAGGTCGGAATGGATGTACCGGATCGATAGAGTGAATGATCCGCGGTATCTCTTTGAATTAAGGAAGTTTATTGCTGCTGGTAAAGCTCACCGTGAGAGACTGAAGCGGATGACAACCATATGTCCATGTTCTCGTTGTAAGAACCTGAAAGCCCACCGAGACAGCGAGGTGCAAACTCATTTGATCATGTATGGTTTCGTCGAGGGCTACACAGTCTGGACATTTCATGGCAAAAGAGTTGGTGCGAGTGGCGGTGCATCTGGAGTGAGCTCTTTGACGCCGACGACGACAGCACCACCGGTGAATAAAGATCCTTTAGGAGCACCCGGCTCCTCATCATCTTCAGCAAATTGCGCCAAATTTTACAAGGATGACAACGATTGTCTTGATTACATCACGGTGGATGATCTAATGCAAGACATGGCCGAAGAAGCCGACGACGGTGGGGATGGTCAGGATACTGTGAGCCAATCCGAGGATGTGCAGCTTGTTGAAGATCTAGTCAAACACTTCAATGAAGACGACGTTGTGTTGGGTTGCCCAAAGTGGTTGGAGAATTTCAGAGAGTTGAAGCAGGCGGCAGTTGATCCTCTCTATAAGGACGGCGGCGATTGTCTGAAGGAATGCACGACGCTCCGTTTTAACCTCCATATGTTGATGTTGAAGGCTCGTCATGGTTGGTCTGACACTAGCTTCAATGAGTTGTTAAGCTACCTTGCCACCACGTACCCAACGACTAACAAGGTGCCCGCCAATACTTATCGGGCCAAGAAGCTGATCCGGCCAGTGGCGATGAAGCTTAGAAAGTTTGATGCATGCCCTAACCACTGCATCCTGTATCGGGGCAATGAGTATGAGAATTTGATGAGTTGTCCGCACTGCGGCTTTAGTCAATACAAGAAAAATGCTGGTTGTCGCGTGGATGCAGAAGACAAGGGAGGCTTGCGGGGTGGTCGGAAGAAGAACAAGAAGGGGGCAAAGAAGAGCAGTGCGACCAAACAGATCTTGGCTCAGCAGGACGATGAAGAAGAGGGTTACACGCACAGGAAAAGTTTAGCACTGTCGGTGTGGTACCTGCCCATGACCGATCGCCTGCGTGCAATATTCGGGAACCCGGACGATGCCAAGCTCATGTCCTGGCATGCATCAGCTAACCGCCTGAAAGACGATGGCAAGCTACGGCACCCATCCGATGGCAAGCAGTGGAAGGATTTCGACGAGGCCTACCCAGAGTTTGGCAAGGAGCCCAGTCATGTTAGGTTCACGCTGAGTACCGACGTGATGAACCCGTTCGGTGAGCTTAGCAGCTCGCACTGTAACACCCTGGTGTTATGCAAGCATTTAGGCACTACAAATCATGCATATTATGCATCATCAAGCATCCTAATCATACATACCTAATCACGTAAATAATAACTGAAACAATGCTTCGAAACATATGAAACATGCTCGTGAAACATGAATGTTGCATACACTTGTTTAGAGTTATTTTTGCCCTAATTATGCTTACTAGGTAAATAAAACATGTTTGCCTATAATTGTAAATCATCTAGATTTATTTAGCACAATTTTTAGAGCAAAGTTTGTATTCAAACTTTTGACAAAATATGCTTTTGAAATTATTATTGGAAAGGGTAAAAAATCCTCTCTATTTAGCTTTTGCTTCCCAATTCAAAATCTATGCAAAATTTTTAGTTGGTCCCTAAAGCAAAGTTGTAGAGGACTAAATTCTAAGCAACTTTTATTTTTGGGCCATTTTCAAAAGAAGTCATTTTCTTGCTCAAAATGGTACTTGAAAACTGATATTTGAAAATTCATTGAAAATAGAATTAGAAAAAATTGTTTATCTCTTTTAACGGGCCGCCGCCTCACTTCTGGCCCATCAGCCGAAGCCAGCCCAGCGATCCTCACATGCCCCCGCCTTCGCCTTGGCCCAGCCCACGCCCGTGCGCTGTCTCCCTTCTCTCCCGCGCGCAGACGCGTCCGACCGCGTCAGGCATGCCGCGTCGCGTGGCGAGCGCATGTCGGCGACGCTGGCCGGGTGGCGTCCCGTGGCCCCCGCGAGCACGCGCCTCGCCCGTTTTCAAGCCCCCACAGCTCCGCTTCTCCCAGCACTCCTCATTTTCCTCTCCCACGCTGCGTCTCTACTTCGCCCCGCATCGAGCTCTGCTCGCGCCGCCCTCGCTACCACAGCCCCGCCGGCGAAATTGGCCGCCGATGGTCCACCATTGCCCGTAATTGAGCACACATCGCTCCGCCTCACTCCCCGACACCCGGTGCTCGCTGCAGGGTCACTGTTTGAGCAAGGTACAGCTACCTTGCGTGTTTTCGCCGTCGTCGGTCATGGCGTCGCCGCGCTTGACCTCGCCGTGGAAGGGCTTCCCCCGTCCCTTCTCTATCCCCTTGAGTGACCTGCTTGGGTTCGCCATCTTCTTGCCGACCCAGCGCACACGCCTGCTTGCCCGGTCATGGCTGGCAACGGCCATCGGCCCGCTGGCAGCGGCCGCACCGCCATGGCGCCTGGAACGCCGGCGTGGCGTGGCCGTCTCGCCTCGGCCTTGCTGGGCCAGGTCGGCCTTGGGCCGGAGCCCTGAGCCGGGCCGTCGCCTTTCCCTCCGCTCGGTT